CAGGCAGGATGTTAATTATAAGATGCAGTGATTTAGGTATAATACATTATTTAGCATTTCCTTAAATTGTTTGTCAACTCCCTGTTAACACCCATCCATAAATGGAATGAAATTGATGACATCTGAGTTAATTTCATACAGTCTAGCAGTCATTTGGGTTTCCAGTCTAGCCTAACCTTCAATGTATTTCATAAGGCAAAGAAGAAAGGCAAACCTTTTAGTGCTCAACATCTACCTTTCCACTTTTATCTGTGGACCACAGTAGCTGTGCAACTAGCTAAGGCTTGTCCACTAAAGGATAACACTTTAAGATTTGAAAGAAATGTATTTATAACCCTAAACATACTATTTCCCACATCTGTTGAAGTCATAATACTGACTTGGAAATATTCTCAGATAATGTTGGAAGTAGTATTTCAAGGTTACTGGATCTTTTGAAAACCATTGGAGAGACCTGGAAAATAACTGACTTACCCTAGTGATCATACCTTCTCCGCACCCCTCACCCCCACTCTCTCTCCGTCTTGATCTTTTTTTTCTCTCTCTTTTGCCTGCCTGCTTCCTTCCTTCCTTCTTTTCTTCCTTCTTTCCTCCCTCCCTTTCTTCCTTCCTAAAGTCTTTTTTTTTTTAAATTTCTGTGTGTGCTGGTTCTGGGGCCTGAACTCAGGGTCTGAGTATTATCCCTGAGAGGCTGTTTTGCTCAAAGCTAGTGCTCTACCACTTGAGGCACAGATCTACTTCTGCCATTTTTTGATACTTAATTGGCAAAAAAAAAAAAAAGTCTCATGGACTTCCCTGGCCCAGCTTCAAGTTTTCTTATTTACTCAAAAAAATATTGGAGTATATATATATATATATGGGAAGGAAAGGTCAAGTGAATAACTTAAGGTACATATATGGCTATTTATTGCCCTGAGTCTGGTAATAAACCTTTGTAACCAAAGAGATCACAGTTCCTAAATAATTAGCATAAACATAAACTACCTAAACATCTTGATGATGCTATTGTCTATAACATTGACAGGAATTTGAGAAAGAGTAATTACCTATGAAGAAATCATTTTGTGGTAAAGATTTTTTTTTTTGGTTGGTCGTAGGGCTTGAACTGGGGGCCTGGGCACTGTCCCTCAGCTCTTCAGCTCAAGGCTAGCACTCTACCACCTGAGCCACAGCACCACTTCCTGTTTTCTGGTGGTTAATTAGAGATAAGAGACTCATGGACTTTCCTGTCTGGGCTGGCTTTGAACTGCGATCTTCAGATCCCAGCCTCCTGAGCAGCTAGGCTTACAGGCCTGAGCCACTGGTAACTGGCTGTGGTAAAGTTTTTAGAACTCTATTTTCCTTTTCTTTTTGCAAGGGAAAGAAATCATCCGTATCAAAGTTTTTAGAAGTTGAAATTTATTTCTATGCACATCTTGGATAAGCAATTCCAAGAGCAATTATAGTAATGCAAATTCAATGAACACTGACTTTTGTTTCACTTTATGCTTGAGTGAGAACACCCACTAGTTTCCTCTGTTGTACTCAATGACAGAAAAATGTGTTCTAGCTCTTGGCCATTGAAACCACTGTGAATGTCACTGACCCATGTAAACCATGGTCTGGTTAGAGAAATTAAAAACAGTATTAAGGCATGTGTGAGTTTTATATGTTACATATTTAAGTGTTCTCTTAACACTAATAGTCAGGTCGTAATATTTTAAAAGTCTCACTCATAAGATCCTCCTCACCAAACTTTCCCACACTCAATTTATTGAAGTCTACATTATGGAATTATCAAAACAAATGGATTTTTCAACTACCCAACATTAAACCATCTCAAATCAAGGACGTTTTTTATTGGCATTTCTTACAATTGAATCTATTAAGCAATTACATATCAGTGTCACTGGTAGTTTGAATTTCTGTGCTAACCCTATGCGTTTATTATCTTGACTTTTATTAATTCTCATTTCACGGAACCTAATTCCTTTCTCCCGTGGGAAGGTGATTTACAGAATAAGCCATCTAGTAGACCTATGTGTAACTGCTTCAGCTAAAATGATGTCAGTATGAACACAATGCTCAATGTTTTAAACTGTGAAGTGATTTAAGCTGTTGATTTGAAAGTTCAACATTTTGAAAAAAATCCTCACCTATAATGCTATGAAAAGAAAGAAAGAAACATATTTAAACCCAACAAACTAACTGTAACTATACAGAATGACTGGGTGATGGTTCACAAGAGGCAGACAGTTCACATAAAACATTCCAGCTTGCTGGAGTGCCACTGGCTTATGCCTGAAGTCCTAGAGATCTAAGGATTACTGAAGTCCATGAGATTCTTATCTTCAATTCACCAGCAAAAAGCTGGAAGTGGAGCTATAGCTCACGTGGTAGAGCAACAGCCTTTAGTGAACAAACTAAAGGACAATGCCCAGGCCCTGAGTTCAAGCTCCAGTTACATATATACAAATGTGTATACAATACATGCACATGAGCGCGTGCACACACACACACACACACACACACGCACGCACGCACGCACGCACGCACAGCTCTATCAAAGGACTTAGAATCCCAGTGGGTTAGAGAAGTGAAAGAAATACCTCTAGTGCTTATACAAAACCCCTAAGAAGAAAGCCTTCCTGAGCAGCAGGGGGTAAAGTCTACTTAACCTGCTCAGTATCCTTAGTGTGACCAAGCAGGACCTCAACCACAAGGTGGAAGATAGAAGACCCACACTAGATTACAGGAATAGGCTCTTTCTAACAGAGAGGGATCATTTTAGAAGTTAATGGCTTACCTGGTTTCAAACAAGCATGGGTTCCCAGCAGAAGTGATTACAATTGACCAGTCTGATAGCAGATTAGCCTTGAAAGTAAGATGGTAGCAATCCCCCCTCCCTCCCAAAGTTGGAAATGCTCTTCTATGGTCAATGTCTCATGACCAACGGGAAGATCACAAACTGGCAAAGAAGACAAAGGAGAGAGGGAGAGAACACAAAGCACATGACTGTAAAATCCCCAATGGCCCAGCTTCTCGAAGTCAGCTGTATGGAGAACAACACACCTTCATGATCTGCCATCCCTGAGCCACAGGAAAGAAAGGCTTGGAAACAGAGGGGAAGTATTTGGAAGGGCTGATCTGGCAGAGTAACTTTTATATCTGGGGAGATGAATAAATAACAAGGCTCATGCTAGTATTTATATCTGTTTATTTCACTTCTCTAGTGATTTTTTTACTGTATTTTCCAGACATATTGATCCATAGTAAATTGAAAATCTTTGTGTGGAGGTGTGGAAGGGTTCACTGTCATAGATGAACAAGTCTTACTATACTATAACACTCATAATAAAGTCTTATATAAGCCATTTGCATATTATGCTTGCAAGGATATTGATTTGCCTACAGTCATCTCTTAAATTAGTTGAATATTAAGATTTTTTCAGAAGTAGCTAATTTTGCCCATGTGTAGTAATAGTAAGCTCCTTTGATTAACATCTGAATTAATCTAGAAATATTTGAATTGAGGGCCAATGAGATATCAAATAATCAAAACTATCTGAGCAACTGAAATATTAATTAAGATTTCCCTTGGAAAGGGAGAGTTTGGAGTCAAATAAGTTTGGGATAATTCTCTCCATCCTGGAGCCTGCTCCTGGGGAAGTACAGAACATATTAAGGATTCTGTAAAGGTTGTTAATAAAAACTGTATTTTTAATTATAAGCATGCAACCCTTTTTTTTCATGGTACTGGGTATCGAACCCGGAGTGTTGCCTCTGCTCTGCTAGGCAAGCACTTTGCCACTGAGCTACCTCCCAGCCATCGACCTTTTTTAAATCTAAATTCACATTAACATTTTATTCAGGAAGCATAATGTTGGAAATGCTGACATAGTAAAAACAAACCCTTCTACATGAGCAATCAAAACTCCTGTCCAGATGGCCATTTCCTAGCTGTTTCTCTTCCCTATTTGTAAGTGGATTGGACTATTCACCCATCACCCATTCACCCATTAACAGGACTGAGCTGCAGCCTCAGATGGAGTCCTAAGTGAAATCACAGCAGGTGGGAAATCCAGGATAGGGCAGGGGCTCCCAGTCTGTGTTCCCACAACTATCCTTGTGACCCACACAGTCCTATTCCTCCCTTCTGAAAGGAAATGTTCTTTGGTGAATCCCAATCCCCATGCTACCCTCCAGCCAGGGATGGCCAATTCTAATAGCCATTTACTGAGCCACTGGGTCTCTGATAGAGCTGGTTTGGTAGATACTGGCCAGTCCTCCTTTGCAAACACAGGTTGGAGTCAGAGCAGAGCCAGGAGGAAGCTCCTCATTCAGCCAAAGCCCCAGTAGGGCTTTTCCACCCCCTTGGCCTTAGCCTCTGTGTAGGCATTTCCCCAAGAAGTTGTAGGGGTGAGAGGTGGGTGCTTACAGCAATGGAAGACTCAGTATTGAAGGTCTCATGAACATAACCAACTGTCCCCCCAACCACCTGCTATTCTTCCACAGTCCCCACATTTCTCAGGAATGACCCATTAGCTAGATTCACGTGCATCAGTCTCAATGGGAGAACAATCTATTAGGTGTCAATAGTGGGACAGCCTGGGAAGAAGAGAAAGTGCTATAACAGAGGACAGTCATGTCAGATTTCCCATGCATTGTCAAAGTCCAGTTCCTACGCATCCGCCTCCCTACTTCACATCCATAATAGTCTATTGTCCCTCAAACAACTGTGATTTTCAGCATTGATGGCCTCCGTTTACTTCAGAGAGACAGTTTCTAGCATTTGTGCCACTTTTATGTGGTCATTGAAATGTAGGGCAAGGACTAGGTTTTACTCTTCTAACCACCAAACCATGCAGTCTCTGTTAAAGTCAAAATTATCATGAAACATTATTTACATAGTACACAAGAAACGCAGTTGTGCAGGTGTTACAGACAGGAGCCTCAGTGTGCAGTAATAAATAAATATATAGATATAGATAGACAAGGAAGGAGCTCTGAATTTTACTTACTGTTCACATAAACACTAAAGGTCACAGAAGCATTGACATCAGAGTTGGACACAAGAAATGTGTAGGTGCCTCCCTCGGTCCCTTTTAATCTGGTTAGATGAAGTTTGCTTACATATCTACAAAGAAAAGATGATAATCAACCTCCAGTAGACAAGACCTGTCCTTTTACACTTCTATCTGGAACTACATGTGTATTTGAAGAGAAATAGAACTCATTGAATTCCCAGCAGTAACAAAATTCATATTAAAAATGCATACGCAGTTGATGTGGGACAAATGACTGCCCTATGACAGCAGAATATGGAAAGGCCAGTTAACACAATCAGGCCCCTGCTCCTGCCCTCATGGGCTATCCTCATGACCACGTCCCTCTGCCCACGCTATTTCCTCCCTCTGTGGGTGTCCTCAACTTCACCTACTTGGACAAACCCCAACCTGGCTAGCATTCATACATCCACCATCATCATGGGGACCCTGCAGCCCTTCCAGAGCTACACACTCCACCACTCCCACACCTTGTTTCTTGGGGTTCCACAATCTTCTGGGATTTCTTCTATCCCACTAAATTCTTTTTCCCAGAATCCTAGAATGGTGACTGCATATTCTACAATCTCGAGCAAATCCCTGACATGCACTCTGATGTGCCTGTCTGTAGCCCATGAACAATTCTCCTCAAATGCAGTACCCTTGGCACTCTCCCCTTACCAGAGGACAACCGCTCTTGCTGTAAACCACCTGCTGCTTGATCCTAACTTTCCAACCTTAATCTCTAGTGCAGGTATCTCTGTATTATGCCTTGTGTGCTCTGCATTCTTCTATCCCCAGCTCCTTATGGGCCCTGCTGTGGGAATTACTCATACCTTATGCCTGCAACTTTCTGCCAAAGACTGCCTTTCACACTGAGACTGACTAGATGTTGATAGCCTGCAAGGTCTGCAGACCATGAGTAACTGTGATGGGAGTACGCAAGCCCCAGAGTGCAGGGCTCCCAACAGTCACCTCCCAACCCATACACCTTTACTTGGATCCTTTCCCCATTCCCTGACAGCTCCCTGTTAAGCACCTGAGCTCAGATTCTGTCCCATGGAACTTGATCCAAGACATTCTAGTCAGAATTCTCAAGATTCAACCTAAGAGTACCTTCAGCTTCTCCTTTCTTCTCACTCAGTCATTCCCCAAATCCATCTTCTGTCTACCCTCAGTTCTCAACCCAAAGCACTGTCCTGTCTCACCCATAGTCTTCCAAGAGCAAGGGCTCCTGACTACACAACTCTATCCAGACACCTGCCCCTGATGCGTCATTTCACCTTGATCAATCCTTTTTATCCCTCTGCTGTTTCTTCTTCCATAAAAATGGGGGAAGAGCATCTTCATATACAGTTTGTGAGGACTAAAATGACACATAAGGCACTCAGAACTAGGCCTGACAGAAAGAAAGGCATGTTCACTACCCATAATGTATTATTACTAGCCAACCACGGTGGTGCCTGTGATCCCAGCACTTAGGAGAATCATGAGTTTGAGGATAGCCTACGCTACAAATTGAGACCCTGTCTCAAAAAGTATTATTGCTACTATTATATTGTTTTGAGGATCAAGTAAGAGTTCTGACATTCATTGTGTGGCCTAAAGTTATTCAATAATCCTTAGTTTTAAGACTTTTAAGAAATAAGTAAAGATACTCCTTTTTCTAAAGTGATTTTATTTATTGTATCCTACATATATATATGTTGAGCTCTTTTGGGGGGGCTATCCTCAGAACTCTTTAAGAGAGAACTACTCCTACTTTACAAATGAGAAAACTGAGGTAGAGATTCAGTCTGCCTGTCTGTCTATCTCTCTCATGTTTATATACAGAGGAAAAGGGATTATTCAGATGAGGATTCAAGAGGCAACCATTTCCAGGCCCAGAGTTGTTGGCTTATGCCTATAATCCTAGCTACTCAGGAAGTTGAGATCTAAGGACTGAGATCTGAAGCTAACGTGGGAAGAAAAGCCTGAGACACATCACAAATTAGCCAGCCAAAAGATGGAAGTAGAGCTGTGGCTCATGTGGTAGACCACTAGCTTTCAGTGGAAAAAGCTAAGAGCGTCTACTAGCCCTGAATTCACACCCTAATACAGACATAGGGGGGAAAATGGTAGAGACAACCCTAGATTTCCTTAGCTGTGTCTTCTCATGCATTGATGGGACAAAGAAATAGGATCAGACAAGTAGGAGAGGGGGGACATGGGGAATCTGCAGGGCCCAGATCTTACCTGATATTGCTTTCGTTCTCAGACTTGGGATAATCTTCCCATTTGTTGGTGGATGTCTTGTTCATGTACATCCACTGCTGGTGCTCAGGTCTGGGGTAGGCTTCATACTCAACAATCAAATCTACATTTTCTCCATCATTTACAAATATCGTTGTGTTCATCATGGAGAAGATATTAATGAATCCTTTATCTAATTATAACACAGTAAGACCAAAATTGTTAGCCTCCACTGTCTGACAAAAATCACAACCTAAATAGAGTTACAATGATGATTGACTGCCTTCCAGTATTAATTGGCAACAAGAAGTAAGAAAATGTGAGCTAGCCGTGTTACCTTTTACGCTGCTCTCGCAAATTCCCTGCCATATGGTGAGAAAGAACACACACTGGAAATGGAAAGCAGTTTCCTAAGAGATCTGTCTCTATCTCAAGTCTTCTAAATCTACTAGTCTTGATGTATTTGGGGTTAAAAGAGATCTGAGCTAAACAGCTCACTCCAGAACCATTAGAGTTGTAAATGTGATAAGGTCAGTATTTTTTTTAAAAAAGGTCAACCTTTAAATAAAAGTGAAAGAATCCTAAAGTATAACAGAGATGCTGAAAGAATGCAATTTTGTATTTGAAGAAAAATATACCTAGGTATCTCATCACACCATACATATTACTGGTAAATCACAGGTGACTTTTTGATAATGAACCTATACTTTTATGTAAGCCACAGAACTATTTACTATCAGACTTCTAAAGAGTGAGAAGGGCCAGGTATGGTAGTACATGTTTGCTATCCCAAAATTAAGAGGATGTGGCAGAAGTATAATGAGTTCAAGACCAACCAGGGCTGCAGAGTGAGACCTTAGAGAAAAGGAAGGAGAAGGGAAAATAAGATGGATAGAAGAGATGAGGAGAGAGAGCCAGGAAGAGAGGCTGAGAGGGGACTGAGGGTTTTGAAGCATTTAGGAAGCAACAGAACAAAAATACCTTAACAATTTCAATGCGTAAACATTAAAAAATTTCTGTATAGCACAATTAACAGAAAAGAGGAGGACATTAAATATAAAAAAGAGAGAAATGTTTGATCAAACTTGTAATTAAAATCTAATACCACTTTTCACTTATTAAAATAGCAAAACTAATTTAAAATAATCTCTAAGCAGCATGCAAGTGTGATAAAATAACATTGAATTACACACTACATGCTGGCAGGACTCAATTACATATTTTTAAATCTAATCGTATAGTTGTGATTTGAGAATTCCCCTTAAAATTGGGGTAGTTACATATACAAAAAGGACTATTTATACAGTTACAACATGTTTAAATGACAAAACAGAAAATCATCAAATAATGCAACACACACACACACACACACACACACATACACACAAATAAGTCAGGATGGTCTCAAAGTTGGATTCTCTCCACTACTCCATATTTGTATCCAGATCCTACTTCAAGTCCCTAAAAAATTACTATTCTGTCTCTTCTTACCCCTGCCCCACCACTAGCAACTCCTGGAATAATACAGGCCAGATTCAGATTTCACAACCACAATTCTTTCCAGTCACACATTTATAATTCTTGGAAATTGATGAATGGATTTTTAAAATCCGATTACATACAACAATATGCTCAAAACATCCTTTCTAATTGCTTTCTGGAGCTGAAGCTGATATATCAACATGCTCCCTAATCAACTTAGCAAATTAGTACTTATGGAGTTTAATATTTTAAAAGCATGGCCTTCTATTCAAATTAATAAATGGTTCACAATCACGTTTGGGGACAAAGTAGAACACCACTTTCTGTGTGCTGACTCTGTAATTACTAGGAAGGACTCTTTTTCAGTCTGGTGAGATATTTTCCCTTAGAACACAGGCAGAGACACCAAAATTTTAGAAGACTATTGTAGGATAAATCACACAGTACTGTTTCACAAATTATTAAAATTTGAGGAGGGGGGAGAAGAGAGATGAAAACAAACATTGTATCATTTCATTATTGCTCATGATGACAAATTTCATGCTACAAATACTTAATCAGAGCCAAGCTCCAAGAAAACAGTTGCTCATATGTGTGTGCATATTGTAATATTTTATACTTATATAAATTCTATTTAGTAATTAGATCTGAATAAAGTTGGGAAAAGTTTTCTAAAACTTAAAAAAAAACTTTTAGAAAATTGATGAAGTCAAATTTACACTTAAAAGATAAAAAAGGTATGAATGGAATACCTTAAAAATAGCTATTCTTGTTCTCAGCAAATCAAAACCATCAAGTAACTCACATCATTTGCTCTCTTTACGTGTATATTTAGGTAATAGCTCTGTGAGATTTTTTTGAGGGTAGAGGCAGGGAGTACTCAATCAACTGGCAGACCAGACCAGATATGATAGACTCAGGCATATGACCGTGTTCTGCTACTGTTGGGTAGTAGAATCAAACTCATTGCCCTCCTTCCTGATGGCACATTTTTTAGGCTGCAGATGAGGCTCCAGCAACAACTAGTATATGTCTGAGTCAAGCAGAAAAGGTCAGTTGATGTTAGGGAAATGAACCCTAAGATATGTATTCAAATGTTTTTTTCTTTAATGCGATTGTTTCTAACATATTTGTTAGATGATTTCTTTGTTGCTTTGTATGTCCCTCCCCCACAGTATAACCCCTGCTTTCACTGTATTTGATGTTGGTATAATTTGTGGAGGGGAAGGGAAAAAACAAATCGTTTATATAGGGATACAGGTGGACCCATTGCAACAATGAGATGTACAAGTCGTTATGTTGAAAAACGAACTTTACAACTTTGGTAGGGGGGGAGGGGGGAAGGAGGATTTGATGGGGGTGTGTGAGGGGGGGGAGGATGGGAAGGGATGGGAAGGAGAAACAAAGGAGGAGGCAACAATGCTTGATAAGAAATGTACTCCTTATTTTGTCCATGTAATTGTAACCCCTCTGTACAGTATTTTCACAATAAAAAAAAAAAGAAGGGAGTTACAGAACAGGAAAATCTCAATTCAGCCCATACTACAAATGAACTAGGGCCCATAAGTGGCAAAATAATGAGGCAAAAAGTAGAGGAGCCCAACCAAAAGATTCAGAGAAACACTGTAGGCTCTAAGCACTGAGCTGCCTGATAAGCAAAGCCAGTGATCATTTCCAAACATAAGTCAATCAGCAAGTACTAGAATTTTAGAAAAACTAAATTTCTACTTTATTTGGTGGAAGGAGGCAGTAGGTAGCTCAGAGACAGGCTGGAATGTTAATAACAACTTCTCATTTTTTTCTGTTAAAACCGGTAGAATTTGCTTTTGTGTTCTAGGTGAAGAGGGTACAAAATATAATATTCATTCATTTGGTGCTAATAAAATTCCAAGAATCTGTTCATAGAATTTCATTTACATAAAAAGGAAAACTAGTAATTTCTTTTTTCACTATTTCCAGTAATTTATAAATTCCCAGAGATATTTACCTACTACTTTCAAGGTTGTTGTGACATTTGCCGATCCAAAAGAATTATTGGCGTAACACATGAACACTCCAGAATCATTAACTCTTGTTGAGCTGATAGTCAATGCTTCTTGGCGTTTATAATCGAAGTCACCCTGATGCCAGCTATTGCGTTGTACCTGTGCTTTAGTCTGTTGGTTTCAGAAGAGGAGAAAAATACACATACACATAGAGAGATTACCATATAATTTATATTCAGGGATCTTTCCTAAATTAAAAATAGCAGCAATTAACTTCTCCATATTAGCATTCATTAGACCCTACTGAAGTAGGAATAATAAAACATGGTGACAAGCCTGTCACTAGAAGCCTTCATATTCCAGGGTTACATTGAAAGATAGTCATTATTAATGAGTAGGGAAAACATGAAAATGAATTCCAAATTCTGTGCTGTATGTATCCTATCTTCAAAGTTACTACTTAAAAAATATTATAGAATACTGATGATTTGTAATATGAGTCTGCTTACTTAGGTCATTAACATTCTTTTTCTGTTCTGTTGCTCAGTGATTGAAAGAAAATACATTGCTACTCACAATAAGATTCTATTTTATTACCATTTAGTCTTCATAGGGACAACAACAGCATCAGAATGTCTACAAACAACCTGGAAGTTCATCCTACAGTTTCTTACCTATTGATATTCTGACATCTACCAAAGAAAGGAGTTGGGAGTTAAGAGACATAGAAGACCAAGCCCCAAAGGATTTAATCATGTGTTGTGGATTTACTTTTGTAATGTCACCATCCCAAACATAGTGTCTACAGACAAGACATGAAGAGGCTGCTTACACTTAAAATATCATAAGAAAACCCTAATATAAATAAGAGCAACACTATTGAAAAGATAAGCAGAGCGGGACACGGCTTACTGTATCTTCCAAATTTCATGTAATGTGTGTACATTCCTATCACAATGCAAAAAAAAACCCTCATACATACCTCCTATATCTATATAGATGTATCAATCTAGACCAAAAAGAGAGGGGGGGGAAGGGAGAGAGAAAAAGAGAGAAAGAAAGAGTGAAAAAAAGAAAGAAAAGGGGAGAGAAAGAAAGAGAAAGAGAAAGAAAGAAAGAGAGGGAAGGAGGGAGGGAGGGAGGGATGGAAAAAAGGAGGGAGGGAGGGAGGGAGGAAGGGAGGAAGGGAGGAAGGGAGAGAGGGAGAGAGGGAGAGAGGGAGGGAGAAAGGAAGGAAGAAAGGAAGGAAGGAAGGAAGGAAGGAAGGAAGGAAGGAAGGAAGGAAGGAAGGAAGGAAGGAAGGAAGGAAGGAAGGAAGGAAGTGAGAGAGGAAGGAAAGAAGGGAGGGAGGGAAGGAAAACAGTTGTTGATGACAAAGATCAATATCAAGGGTGATTCCTTGGCCAGGTGGCTATAACATAGTTAACCCATCAGCCAGTGATATCTGTTAGAGCCATCCTTGTAGAAAGCAGCTTTGAAGGATGCTCATAGCCTCTAATTTACTCTAGCAAATATTATCTAGGAGAAGCTGGGAAGGTGGCTCGGTGGTAGAGTGCTACCTTGCATGCACGAGGCCCTTGGTTCGATTCCTCAGCACCACATAAGCAGTAAAAGCCAGAAGTGGCACTGTAGCCCAAGTGGTAGAGTGCTAGCCTTGAGCTGAAGAGCTGAGGGACAGCACCCAGGTCCAGAGTTCAGGCTCCACAACCGACAAAAAAAAAAAAAAAAAAAAATCTAGGAAATTAAGAGAAGAGCTTCACATGTTGACTATAGTGGTAACTCAAAGTGATCTGAAAGCACATAGGAAACAGCAATAAAAGTTATGACTGTGTGGAAGATAAGCATTTGTGTTACCTAAAGAAGGAGAAATTGAGTGGGGGCCCTAGTAGTTCACACCTATAATCCAAGCTACTCATGAGGCAGAGATCTGAGAATTGAAGCCAACCTAGGCAAGAAAGTCTGTTAACCTCATATCCAATTAACACCAAAAATGTGGAACTGTGGTTCCAGTGACAGAACATTAACCTTGAACAAAAGTAAGCTTAGGGACAATGCCCAAGCCCTGCGTTCAAGCCCCAGTATAGGGAGAAAAAAGAAAAAGAATTTTAAAAAAATTACCTTACAACTGCCACCATAACTGAGAGGAAGGGGGACACAAATATGAAAAAAATATAGAAATATGGACCAATATATGGACAAAATATGAAAAGCTCTGGGCTATGTAGGATTTATAAGGAGAAGCAAGCCACTTGTGATCATGGAGCACTTAACATGGAGTCAAACTGATTTATGCTATGAATGTATAAAAGATATGTCCCAGATTTTAATGACTGAACATGAAAAAATGCAAAATATCTAATTAACAAAAATGATGGCATTTGGATAATGGACCAAAGGCAACATTATTATTAAAATTACTTTTTCTGGGTTGCTTTTTTATTTTATTATAATGTATCTAGTAGAAAAAATTTAAAATCATGAGACTCGTGCATACTATCAAGTACTGCTAGTGATAAACAAAGGATTAAAGTTAGTCCCCCCCCCCCAGTACTATCATACTTAGGAATTTCTTATTCAGTACTGGAGATGAAGCCCAAGGCTATTCACACAGTAGCCAAGTATTGTATCATTGAGCCAGCCACACTCTATCCCAACTTTTGAAACTTTTTTTAACATCAAAATGAGCACACAAGGACTAGGAATGTGGCTCAAATGGTAAGGAACTTGCTAGAGCAAGGCCTTGAGTTCAAATCCTAGTACCAGAAACAAAAAAGCAACATAAAAGTTGACGGTTGAAGGTGAAGAAAAAGAAGAGAAACTGGCTGTCCTCTTAACTTGCTGGGTTTGGGAGCAAGTCAAAAGTACCACCAGCATTAGCTTTCACTTATAGAAAGTGTGAGGGAACAAATGTGCCTGTAAGATCTTGCCAGCATTGAACACCGGGTAGACCTGAAGCCATTCCTTCTGTGAATCTCTTCAAAGGACTGGTTGAAATCTGCCATTCCACTGTAGAATATCAATGAACAAGAACATGCAATGACCAAGTCAAATGACAGCTTCAAAGTAAAGTGACAGTGGTCATTGTCCATCAGACTCTCCAAAAGCAGAAGGACAATGGGTAGATTAGATAGATACTAAGTTCTGGACTGAAAGTATCTCTCTTTCACTTGTCAAAGCCTGGAGTCTACAATAGGGCACTGCGCAGGAACACTATGCTGGATGGACAGCTTGGTCCTCAGTGAGGTGATATAAAAATCTAAATCCTGAAGGTCATGGTGTAGGATACTGTCAAGATTGGAAATAGGAATAAATACAAATACCAATGCTCAGAAGCATTAGCAAAGTTAACCAAGATTAACACATGATGGATAAACTATCTTATGCTTCAATAAATTTTAACAACTCTAAAAACTTATTTATCCTACATTTCATTGAGGTAAATTTATCCTAAATGGTCAGGATCAAACATTATTACTTTAAAATAATTTCAGAGTACTAACAGTATTCCAAATTAAGCCAAAGAATATCAATACAGTGTTCATGGGTGAACTCTGGCAAAGAGCCACGAGTGCCATCTGCAAGTCACACATTACATGTTTGCACGTGACTTGGTTTGCTTTAACCCTTGGATGTACACACTGGGCTTTCCCCCAAAGAGCTCCCAACGCTAAAGCCTTATCTAACAGCACCAGAGGATTAATTGGGAATAGCATGCAGGGCTCCTGGGAAAAATGGTTCAGAACAAATCACCTGAGGCAATTTAATTTCTCATCTCAAAAAGGCTAATTTTTATACAGAGGCTCAAAACACACATGGGCTAAATCATCTGAAACCAAGGATTAGAGAAAGCCAATTAATATGAGACTGTGTTCAGTAAGGTTAGCCAAAAAGCCATACATAAGCTATTCTTTTTTATTACCTTAAATGACATAGAAACTAAAAATTATTTCTCTGAGCCATCAGTATGGAAGAAGTCTCTCATACAATCCATTCCCCAAAGCAGCCTTCATTGAGCAAGAGAGTATCCATCATGGGTCCACACAAATATATCACCATGTCCCTAAGTTACGCTAATCATCATGGTTATTTTTTAACAAATCATTTTTTAACCGGGCATGAAATTGCCAATACTAAATATAAGGCATGTAGAGGAGGAAGAGATATAAAAAGGAGTATAAAGAGTATTTCTTTTTTCCAAGGTAATGTATACATACATGGTAATGAAGAGAAGCCTCTGGTAGCTAATTAACTAGATAGCAGAGATTACTTTAAAAAAGGCCTAGCTAAGATGTATTGAGTTTTAACATATGTTGAACACACTATCTGACAAATACTAGTGATTCAATATCCATTTATTAAGTGAATGAGAGCCTAAACATGTTCAAATATTTTGGATTGAAGATAACCATGTTATTAATAGCAACCGAAACAAATAAAGGACCATTAGCAATCTAATCTCAGGTAAGCGCTTCAAAAGAGAAAACCAGATCCATAGAACACTCATCACTCAAATGATTAGGCTATGCTGTTGGGGACAGAAAAGCTTCTTGATTCATATCTGACCCATTTATTTATTCTTTGTAAATACGGAGGGGAAAAACTTGGGAAACTTTTTTACTATCTTAAGTTACTTAGCCTGAGCAGAAAAATAATTTTAATGATATTTGTACAGTTAACCATTTAAAAAATCTATTGAAGTCATTCAAAGAAACAGTATTAAATAATAACATGAGGCCAGAGTTACGTAAAACTTTTTCAGAATAAATTTCAAGAAGATAGTTCTCAATAATAAGAAATGCGGTGAGGCATTGGTGGCTCACACCTAAATGTGACAGATAAAGTTTGAAAGCCAGCCTGAAAGGTCCATGAAATTCTATCTCCAATTTTAAAAATCTAGGCTGATGGTATGGCTCAAGTGGTAAAGCACCAGATAAACAATCAAGCTAAGTAAACCTGAAGCTTTGAGTTCAAGTCCTGGTACCCCTAAAATAGCAATAATAAAAAATGTATATGTGGAAATACATAGAGGCAATATATATATGAATATATTTTCAGATAATTTCAAAAGATAAACATACTACTGGAGTCACCCTAGGACATGCTTTTAAGGGAAAACCTTAAAAATCTTTACACAGAGAACAAAATATTGAGACAAATAAAGGAAAACAATTCACTTACTTGACTGTTCTCCTTTATCCACATGGAACCCACAGAAGAAGACACATCTTTTATTGTGCATATCACTGTAAAGACTTCCCCTTCCCTAAGAAGATAGCTTGGTTTGGATATAGACACAATTGGTATAGCTTTGATGGCTAGAATAAAAAGAAATGGATTTAAACAATTTCTTCTATTACTGATTGAAATTTTAGCTTGCCTTTTTAAATCTTTGCTCAAATGTGCACAGCTGACTTCACTATCTTCTAAATAAAATAAAAAGTATATCTGAAGACAGGCAGCTGGGTGCCAGTGGCTCATATCTGTAATTCTAGCTACTCATGACAATGAGATCTGAAGATCCAGTTTGAAGCCAAAAAGCTTGGGCAGACAAATGATAGAGACTCTTTTATCTCCAATTAACCAGCAAGAGGCCAGAAATGGAGGTGTGGCTCAAGTGGTAGACTGCCTGCCTTGAGTGGAAAAAGTGACACAAGAGCTGGAGATCCTGAGTTCAAGCCCCAAGATTGACACTACAAAGGATGTTAGCAATTAAACCATGCATCCTTCAAGTAAATTCATTAATATTGAGGGGAAAAGATAGGAATGGCTACTAAGAGATTGCAATGATTCTGGTAAATTGCTTTTTCAAGACAGGAAAGAACCCAGCATAGTGAAGCAGGTTTCGTTTTTACCTCAGACAACCTTGGGTGATTTCATGGAATGTGACTTAAAAGTAATTACATCCTTCTAACCAAACAGGCATCTTTCCCAGGCACCGTACAAATAACATCTTGCTTGTCTCTGAAAATCTCAGTTTTTAAGTTAACTAAAATGTTCCTTAATTTCAATGAGCATACCTTTTCAAAAGTCTTAATAAAAAAAAACTGTACTAAAAAGCTGAATACCAACTGCTGTCGATTAAATAATCTCAGATATAAAATCCAGATTTTTATCTTCTGGTTACTGAAATATCCTACTTGGTGTCATAATAATAACAGACTATAGCTATAGTTTCCTTCTCAGATCTCAGAGATTGAGGATGTATGAAAATGGATTAGCTAAAAAGAAAGTCAATGCAGGTATTAATGATGAATCACAGAATGAATTACTTGTACACTAATCTTTTCAAACAGTATAATTAAAGCTTTCTATCAGGTGGGTACACTTTGGGATATCCTAAGTCAGCAGATATAATGACCATCCCAGTATGTTCTAAATGCCAATCTCAGGCAGGCATACCTACCTTAGCCAACAATGGTCATGGATCTATTAATTGAAGCTGGGACTATGAAAGGATGAATTCAAAAGCAGCTAGGTTTTTAGGAGCTGTGAATTAATGAAAACCATGTGATCGCCAATAGTAAGGTAGGTCAGAGAGAAAAGAAATGGTTGACATGGTTTTCCTATCATTAAAAGAGGAAAGGAAAGGGCCATACCTGCTCTTACTTTCAGGACAAGTCTATCCGACAAAACCAATTTCCCATCTCGCTCTGCAGCACAACGGAAACAGAGACGGTGGTAGGCTCGCTTGACATTTTTGATGGTGATGCCAGCCTTGGGATCAGGGACAAACGTCAGGTCTTTGGGGAGAGGTTTCCCCTCACACTCCCTGAGGGAGTAATTGTCCACTTCTGGGTCGGTTAGAGGACAGCGAACCAGTGTATCATTATCTTCTTTACCATACAAGAGAAGGTTAACAAGGAAGAGCTTGTCCGGATCTATAAGCATATCAAACAATAATATTTTTTAAGTGAAAACATTTTTCAAAGACCTAAAATGTTGCTTTTCATGACTGCAATCCCTAGTGGCCCAAGCAACTTATTTCCTGTGTGAACAAAAGCAAACTCTATCCATATAGTAGAAACAATTAAAAGTGAACATTTATTAAATAATTTCCAAGTGTCAAGCACTAACCTTTGACCATCACACATTTTATCTAACTCTTCAGAGTGTCTCTACATGATCAGAGATCTATCTGAAATGCTTGAGATCTGAAGTGTTTCAGATATTATTACAGTTTTGAGTTTGGAATATCTGCAGAGATTTTATTGATGAAGCTCTAGAATTCAAAATTCCAGATCTAGAATTTTTCCAGCAACATGTCAATGCTCAGAAAGTTTTAAGGCATTTTGGGTGTTGGATTTCTGGATCAGGAGATATTGCAACCTGTACCATTCAAAATACTATTTTGATCTGGATGAAGAAACAGGTCTTTCCTTATGTTGTTACATATGTTGCCTGGAAATTGCTGTGCAGAAACCCAAACCTAGGTCTGACTGATATTAAACTTTGAGCTCTTACAACTCTGGTAATACTTTATTACAATAGTTATTCTTTTTCTACAACAAATATAAATGTCCTAAACACATCAGTTAAAAATAAGCCAGTCTGATGACTCATGGTGAGGGCAGAGAAAAATGTCTTTTCCTCTGACTCCTCTATGTAGGACTCTGTCCAGATCTGAAAGGCCTCCGATTGTTCAGTTTCTAATGGGATTCTAGAAAACCCTGAATACATTGAAAGGAACTGATAATTCTGGAAGGGAAATAACTTCAACACATGAGAACAGATAGTAAATTTCAGAAATACCATGGCAGATACTTTACTGCCCAAGCCAGGACACTTTTGAGTGGAAGGCGCACTACAAAGCGTTAGGCCAGGACACTGGTCACTAACAAGGAATGGCTGAGGACCTACCTCATAGATGCAAAGCCTAACAATAGCCTGTTACCCCCAGCTGTAAACACAGAAGAGGGGATAGGCCAATGGATTACACTAAAGTTCTGTTTTTAGATTGTCCTTTCTGTCTGAAAATTAGTTTTCTCATTAAAATGAATTTAAGCTAGGCACTGGTGACTTGTGCCTGTATTCCTACCTACTCAGGAGGCTGAGATATGAGGATCAAGGTTTGAAACCAGCCTATGTGGAAAAGTCAATTCTGTCTCCACTTAAGCAGCAAAAGTGCTAGACTTGAGGCATGGCTCAAGTGGTAGAGTACCAGCTAAGCAAGTGAGAAAGCAAGCAAGAGTGTAAGGCCTTGAGTTCAAGTCCTGGCAATAGCACCAAAAAAAAGTATTTTAACTTTACTGAAATATATTAACTTTGAAAAAAGTTCAAAGTATGAATTGGAGGTCACTGTTGGCTGTTTTTCTGTCTAAACTTTTACCCTTCCAACTATGCTTGTCTTCTTTCATCAACTACATGTGGCTTCTTTTATCACTGTGGCATAGATTACTTAAGTAAGTTACAATTACGGATAGTTCAAGCTTATAGATGACTTTCCCATAAAACAAAGCTTGTGAGCTCTCTGAGTGATTTGGTTAATCCAGTGGTTTTCTTGTTTTTGTGTGTGTCTATCCTATTAAGAATAATAAGTCAGTCATTACCATCCGAAAATTATGGACCACCTTCTCAAATGTCACCAACAATTATGAACTATACCCTGAAGCTAAGCTGGAGCTTTTGAGTGTGCATTTCTTCTCAGCTGCCCACATAGAAAAGGACAGCTGATAAACTAAGCAGAGGCATAGTCAATTCATAGCAATCTTCTGAGTCCTCTTAATAACTCCTGATAAAGCATACCAGCGTTTGCATAATCCTGTCCCTCTATCCATCGCTAAGGAAGACAGAGCAAATCATTTTAGATCTAAGTACTAAGATGAGGAACTCAAATCTCTGGAGACAGCAGATCTCCTATCTGTATGATGCCACACTGTTCATCCACAAGATTATGGATACAGGGTCCTTATGTCTCAGGCATTTAGTTAGTTAGTTAGTTAGTTAGTTAGTTAGTTAGTTAGTTAGTTGCTGGTCCTGTGACTTGAATTCTGGGCCAGGGTGTTGTTCCTGAGCTCCTTTTGCTCAAGGCCAGCGCTCTACCACTTGAGCCACAGTGCTACTTCCAGCTTTTTCTGTGATTAATTGGAGATAGGAGTATCACAGACTTTCCTGCCTGGGCTGGCTTTGAACTGCTATCATCAGGTCTCAGTCTCCTGAGTAGCTTAGATTACAGGCATGCACCACCACACCAGGCTTTCAGACCATTTCTTAAAGACAGTGAAGAACTAGAACCAGGACTCTGCTTCCCCCATAACGTGGATAGCTCAGTTTTTACATCAACCACAAGCTATATGCCCTAACCTAGCTAACCTCATCTGAACAAAATTGTAAAAGCACAGGTAAATTGCTAGATTTATCATAGGAAATGAAGCCTGTACCTCTGTCACATTTTTTTCCTTTTGTTTCTAAGAAATCATAATTTTTTTTAAAAAAAAAAGAAGAATCAACTCTATTTAGAACTTGTGTAAGACAAAGGATGCTGAACTGACTGAGTTGCTTTCCTGGACCTTATTCCATAGGAGAGGGCCAAATCTTTTGAAGTCCTGATCTTTTAGGCCTTGAGAGGCCTCTGATTCTCTAACATGTTTTTACTAAGTGGGAATATCTAGTATCTCAATAACGCAGCTTTCCCAGAGGACATAATTAATTGTCAGGGTTTACTCCATGCACCCAGACAAATGAGCTACACATACTATAATCTCATTAGGAAAAGTACCACAGCCTTGTACACCACCAGCTGGGGTCACATTCAAAGCCACCATAAAAGATGGAGAAAACCAGAGGACAAACATGACCGAAAGCTTTCTAGAGCTAGCCAACAAAATTTTACCTATAGGCTATCTATAATTAGGAATGGGATATTGAGCCCTCTAAGTCACAGCGTCACATGAAGCTGAGCATTTACCTCTAACAAACACATAAATGGAACTCTTCAAGCCATCTTTGTTGACACATGTGTATTTGCCTGTGTTGGTGACCTCCGCTTTTTCTCTGATCCATTCATTGTGCTTATTTTCACTTGTCTGATCCAGGGATTCAAAAGTCCATTTGACAAAGGCGGGATCGGAGCATATCAGCCTGATGGTGTCACCTGCGCTGACTATTAACTCTGACTGTGCTGGCTCGATGGATGGGGAAGCCGGTTCTCCTGGACTCACAGACGGTTGAGAAAAGTCTGCCAAGAAAAACAAGGAACATGCTGAGTCTGATCTTCCATGGAGAAAGAATTTCTTTTTTTTTTTAATTGTGAAAATACTGTACAGAGGGGTTACAATTACATGGGCAAGATAATGAGTGCATTTCTTATCAAGCATTGTTGCCTCCTCCTTTGTTTCCCCTTCCCATCCTCCCACCCAATCCTCCCCGCTCCCACCCACCCCCCCCGCCCCGCACCAAAGTTGTAAAGTTCAGAAAAACTTATATTAAGTGAAGTAAGGCAGGCCCAAAGAAACATAGGTCCCATGGTTTCCCTTATTTGCAATATCTAGTATATATCTGAGTCAAGCAGAAAAGGTCAGATAAGGTGATGCTAGGGAAATGAACCCTAAGATATGTATTCAAATGTTTTTTTCTTCCATGCGATTGTTTCTAACGCATTTATAAGATGATTTCTTTGTTGCTTTGTATGTCCCTCCTGCACAGTATAACCCCTGCTTTCACTGTATTTGATGTCGGTATAATTTGTGGAGGGGAAGGGGAAAAACAAATTGTTTAAATAAGAAAGCATTTCTTCTGTATTGAATTCCATCTTCTGTGTGCTCTGCAATAAAAACAGGACAATGTTCCTCAGCTATTTAGGGCTGGAAAGAGAGTTCTGTTTCAAATTTCTTAAGTTCACTTAGAAAGTTATTTTCTGCAATCTTCAATTAGTCCTAAGGGTCACATTTGGTGTCGAAGGCAGGCCTAGCCATATGCCCTGACTTCTTTGGGTTAAATACACAACTGGTTCAAGTTTCCACTCTGATTGTAGGCCATCGTCATGTCAGTAATAGGCTGATATTTGGCTTAGGAATAACAGAAAAATCTCAAACCATGGAAACAAAAAACAACAACAGCCACCCTCAGATCTTGCGATTGCCGGAACACACGTGGCCAGCACATCTTGGCTACTGCTTCAAGCTTCAGAATTCATTCATTTCCATATAATTTTCTTTATATGGCAATGTTCATCAAAGGAGAACTATTCACCACCAGGCATGGTGGCTCATAATTGTAATCCTAGCCACCCAGAAGGAGGAGATTGGGATATAATGATCAAGGCCAGCATCAGGGAGCAGTTCATGAAATTGCATGTGGGGGGTGAAAGATCACCTGTCACTCAGCTATGTTATAAGTTTAAGTAGGAGGCTCTTGGTAGAATAGAAGCAGGCCTGGCTATTTGAAAATGCATAAAGCAAAAGGGTCTGGGGATATGGCTCAAACTGATAGAGTATAATGCCTAGAAAGCACAGGCCTTAAGTTCAAAAACTAGTACCATTAATTAACTTTTTGTTAAAAAAAGAGAACTATTCGCAGACGCTAAACAATAAAACAGAAAATGACAAACCTTTAAGATCAGTCCATGAGATATTCTATCTATTTGATATTCTATGTTAGGTTCAACCCCACACCTCTTTGTTTCTGGCTCTCTCTGTCTCCTCCTGTCTCTCTCTCTCTCTCTCTCTCTCTGTCTCTCTCTCTCTGTCTCTCTCTCTCTGTCTCTCTCTCTCGCTCTCTGCCTCTGGTTTGGTTTTGTGAGATAGGGCTGTAACCCACGCTTGCCTTAAACTTTCAATCCTCCCTCCTAAGTCTCCTAAGTGTTGGAATTACATGTTAGATTTCAACTTAATGACTCTAATGCTTGCCTAAGATTTCCTTTAGTAGGAAATCAATGTATCTAGTTTATCAAGATGTGACTGTTAAGACTCAATTTGAAATTTGAACCTTAGAAAATTTACATATTCAATTAGCTGTCCATTAATTATGGTCCACAAAAGCATTGTGCTACATGCTGGAGGGAAAGACATGCCTGCGTGAGCCATAGTCTTTGTTCTCGCTTCAGAGTCAACTTCTCAAGTGCAGAATAAGTGAACTAAAGCTATAAGTTTTTACACTTTAACAAGAAAAGGTGAGAAGTGGGCGATAGCCCCTGATCATTTCAGAAGCAAAGGGATGGAGGAGAAGCAGGTGGCAAGAAGAAAGGTCTGGCACTGAGGTTGTCACATGAGGTCCTTGTAGCAACAATGAGCCTGGCAGGAATCCAGGGTTCCTTGTGGAGACATGGAGAGGTACAACCAAGTCACACAAAACCAGGCCCTGTGAAGTTGGGTATAAGTACCTGAAATGCATCAGAGACTGGGAGACTTAAAGTTTTTCATTGAAAAATGACAATGCATAGTGAGATGTCAGAGAATCACTCAGGTCCCAGGAAAGGAGTGGAAGTCTGGGTCCATAGGCAAATTTGAGAACTTATTGTAAGTAGTTAAGAATAAAGATCAATAAGATAGTATTGAATGAAGAAGATGTTACAGTGCAATGGAAAGGCAGAAGGTTGACTAATGGATGACAGCAGTGATGAGGACAGGAGTCCTATTCCCTGGGTGAGGCAGAACTGTACAGATCCTGAGGGACAGCTTTCAACTACTTCTGCAAGATCATGGGGGAAATGGCTTATGTGCATGGGCTCTGTGCCCCTTCCATACACATACCATGGTGGAGACAAAGACTGACCTGAGTCAGTCTTTTGGAGGAGGAAAGGGAGGAGTAGGTAAAAGCAGCAAGGTACAGTCACATATAGAGGAACTTACAAGTTTAGGATGGTGAGAAACAGAAAAAGACCGGGATATGACAGCAAAGACCTGCTTAGATTCTCAGTTGTGGGTTGCTTATAATCTGAAATTTGGATAGTCATAGTACGGGCTGATTTGTAGTGTTAATTAAGCCAGGATGGAGCCAACTTCAAAGGGCAATACCTATTGCCTATAATCCTAAATATTCAGAAGGCTGAGATCTGAGGATGTCGATTTGAAGCCAGTGCTAGCAGGGAAGTCTGTGAGACTTATCTCCAATTAACTACCCAAAAGCATGAGATGGAGATGTGGCTGAAGTGACAGAGTGCCAGCCTTGAGCAAAAAAGCTCAGCCACACCATGAGTTGAAGCCATAGTACTGCATGCATGCATGCATGCATGCACACACGCGCGCACGCGCACACACACACACACACACACACACACACACACACACACACACACACACACACAGAGTCAATACCAGCCCAGAGGAAAATAGGAAAGAATCAGAAGAGGACCCAAGGAAGGTCCTAGAAAGGCTAGAGAGAAGTAACAAGGAAGATAGGGTTAATGGGCCCTAGAGAACTGACAAAATTTTTCCAATATGGTTACAAAGAGACCACTGGAAGTCCAACAGCACAACAGTTTCAGTTGAGTGGAAATTTGTTTGGTCCTCAAATTTGTTTATAGGCTATAAGCTACACGTGTCAACCTCACTGAATGGCTATAGCAGAGTTGGGAAAAAAATAAATAAATAAACCTGTAACTGAACAAGGTTTAAAAGGAGAGCAAGCTGATATTTCACACATGAAGTCAGAAGGAAGAGAGTCTAGGAAGGGACACATCAAAGGTGCACAACAGAAAGGAAGGATTGTGTCCTGCAGGTATATATGTAGATGACCAGCCTCAATTCCCTTTGTTTTCAGACAATTATTCCATTCCATCCCAAAATACAACCAGCGCCTCAAGGAGTCAAGCAAAGTACATACCAGATCAAAAGACAGCCTTTCATGAGACAGTACGGTGGAAATGAACTTTACAACTTGGGGGAAGAAGGTGGAGGGAGGGAAAGTGGGAGAAAAATGAGGGAGGGGTAACATTGTTCAACAAGAAATGTACACCTTACATATGTAACTGTAACCCCTCTGTACATCACGTTGACAATAAAATTAAATTTTAAAAAAAGACAGCCTTTCTTAGCTGGAGATAACAGTAGGGTCAATTACAATCATTCAATGTTAGTAAATACCAACATGGGCGATGCTACAGTGTGATAGCATCTCATTGTGTCCACCAGGCTCTGCATCCCAACACAGCAGTAAGAATAAAGACACAAAATGGCTGAGATTATTATCAGAGCGGTACAGTGTTAAATAATGCAAGTAGAGACAGCAATAAGGAGATGCTATTATTTCAATTATCCCTTTAAAAAAAGAAAAAAAAAAACAAATTAGTATCAAGTGAATAGACTCATGAGACTGACAGTAAATTTGATCCAAAAATTCTTAAAGAATTTATACTGCAATATTTCAATTTATATTTCCATCAGATTTCCCCATGAGTCATTCTTGAGGTCATATACAGATTATTATGTGTCCACACAAATAAATATTGCTGACTCTTTTATCGTTCGTGGATAGTACTCTATCCACTTGAGCCACAATGCCAATTCTGGCTTTTTGCTGGTTAGAGATAAGTCTCTGGGATGTGTCTGCCCAGGCTAGCTTTGAACCCCAAACCTCAGATCTCAACTTCCTCAGTAGCTAGGATTAGAGGCATGAGTCACTGGATGCCAGGAAAGCTTTACTGACTTCTTAAGATCTTCCAATACAGGCAAGTCCTGCCTGTGGGTCCTAAGGCAGGTCACTTGAACTCGGAGTCCAAATTACCATGAGAAAACTGTATAAAACAATACCATCATCTCATGAGTTCTCATGAGAATCAACGAGTAACACAGGCAAGGAACTTAAAACAGGGCTGGAGATGTTTTAAAAGCTAGCTACTAATAAACACTAGCTATTTTTAAACAGTAGCTATTGATAAAAAGTAAGGCTCTTTAGTTAAGACCAACCGTTTAGACTTGCACTAGGGCTGTGCCAATTACTAAACTTGTACTCCTTGGACACATTATTTCTCCATTCTGTCTTGGGCTCCTTACCTACAGGACTGCACCCATTCTGTAAGTGGTGTACACAGCACTTAGAATCTCACTTGGGCACACAGTAAACACACAATAAATCTTATTCTAGAAACAACTTACCATCTCCAAATCAGTCCTGACTTACCCACTTGTGAACAGGGTGGTGGCCTGATTTCTCTCTCTCTAGCAGGAAATCCTAGCGATCTTTCCACTGGGGCCACCACACACACACACACACACACACACACACACACACACACACACA